TTAAAAATATATACTGTATGTGTGTGTATTTATATATACATAAGAAATATACACAGTACACACACACATATATTATGTGAACAAAAACTTTTATTTTGGATGCGATTAATCGTGATTAATCGTTTGACAGCACTAGTTAACTGAAATAAAATACAAGTTAAAACTAATAAATAAAAATGTATACAAATTATATAGATATATTCAACTGATATTAAAACTAATTAAAATGACAAAAACACAACAAAATTATATTACATATACAGTATATACATAAATCTCATTCTAAATGTAATATCTATAATTTATCTAATAAACACCGTTAAACTATTATGGTAATAATAAATGATACTAAAATAACACTGTTACAGCTCCTTGGTCTGCATTTTAAGTCTTGTTTCATAGAAAATACTGCTGTTGCAATGTATTTAACTGGGTGTGTAGTCTAGTTTTATTAGTTGTATTTATTGTATGAATATATCTGATCAGAGTTTCCAAACATATCCTAATATGCATTTTTTCCTAATTCCCTTTTTTTTTTTAATGCAAATAATAAATGAGATCATCCATATCTGTGGGGATATATTATACTATGTGATAGTTACATATATATATATATATACTGAACAAAATTATAAACGCAACACTTTTGTTTTTGCCCCCATTTTTCATGAGCTGAACTCAAAGATCTAAGACTTTTTCTATGTACACAAAAGGCCTATTTCTCTCAAAATATAGAAACAGTCCCTGTTTATAATATAACATTAAGTCTTCCCATTTTTTTCCCTCATAAACCAACAATATATATATATGCAGGTACTGTATATAGATTTTTGGCAGTGCTGTAAACTACCAAACTGTGACAAGACTGCAAACTGCTCTAATTCAGTGTCCATGTTTGCAGCATTGTTTGACCTGCATGATTCCTTTAGTGAATCAGGCGCTGAAGCAACACAGACAGTGAGACAGTGTGTGCAAAATAAACAGTGCATAGTCAGAGTGTAGGTTTCATACAACGGTTACATTTCTGAATCCTGTGTCTTTGTGGTGAGCTTTTATTGAAATGTGTTTGAGTTGCAGACAAAAGCATGACTCTGAGATGCTGAAAACCTCACGCGGAGAGTTTCAGTTCCACTGCGACTGTCTGAAGCTATTTAAGGGACTGTCAGGCACACTTTGAGGATTCGCCTCTTGTGCATACATGTGAGAACGAAAGAAATCAGCCAGAAAACAATCAGCCAGTTTGGCAGCTTTCTGTACATACAACACAGACTCTGTTCTGCCATTACTGCTGAAGTGGATTGTGTACAAACTGTAAGCAAATCTTGATAATGGCCTCATTTTCTTCCCAAAGTACCTTAAAAAGATTTGCATTCCAAATATAAACTACCTTCATTCCTGAAGGTGTTAAATTTGAAGGGGGTTTAGTTAACATTAAGAAATGCATCAAAATCTGCACACTGAGGCCAGGGTTTGAGGAAGAAAAGAACCAGATGGGAGGTGTGAACTGCAAATACATTTGACAGAGTTTCTCATACATCTTAAGATGTAGGTGAACAGCCAGCTGTCTCTAAATGTAGGCCGTTTGTATGTGCTAAAGTATATTTTAGTGATCATGCAAATAGGCCTATATGTACAGTTGTGCCTTCCACATTTTGTTGGAACAGTGCAGAAATGTAGCCATGGTGCAACATTGCCCAGATGGTTCCTCACATTCACTGTAGCTTTAATTCTTTAACCATATTGTCCACTTTAAAAGCTTTTCCAATCCAGGCTCTTCTGCAGAATCTGTGTTTATGACTGCTCAATGAAGAAACAACCAGAAAGCTAAATTTTTCTGCTTTTCCCAGAGAAGATCATATTTTACGTAATAACACATCCATATTTGACATTAAAGACATTTATAATGTTACAAAAGATTTCTATTTCTAATAAATGCTGTTCTTTTGAACTTTCTATTCATCAAAGAATTCAGAAAAAAAAGTATATACTTTTTTTTTTCACGAAAAAATTGTGGTGGGCGATATGACCAAAATCTTATATCATGATATGAGTAATTTTATTTAACGGCAAGGATATGTATCACCATATAGTTATTTTTGCTTTAAAGAAGGTCTTTATGATATGAACATTTTTTATACCATTGAAATTTCATAATTCTTGTCACCATGCAGTGTAAATATCACAAAAAAATAATACTATCCTAAATTAAAAAAAAACTCAAGCTCACTGAAGGCAAGTAAACAGCAATTAAATAAGAATAAAAACTGATTACATGCAATAGGACAACAACAAAAAACTACAGTAAAACAAATAAATAAGAAATGTTTCATACATTGCATAAAGTAATCAAATGTATAAAAACACTGCATATTCTTCACTGTGTAAATTAAATATATATTTCTTCTTATTAAAGTTACAAAAGTGATTTAGTCCAAGAGCAGTGAGATTTTTTTTCTCTTTTGTTGTTTGATTAACATGAATGACAGACAGCAGCTGGCCAGATCCAATATACTGTTACACATGTTTTCTTTCTCAGCTGTTTGCTTTCACTTAAAACCTAAATTACTGTGTTTACGAGTATACTTGCAAAGATGGGCATTTTGACACATACAAATGTGTATGTATTTAACGGTTCAAGTCCTATAAAGCAGCAAAAATAACTCCGATAGCCTTGTGGGCAGCGCGCCGACATATGGCGCAGTTTCGCTTCGTGTCCCGAGTTCGAATCCCGCCTTGTGGACCTTTCCCGATCTCGTCCCCCCTCTCTATCTCCCACTCGCTTCCTGTCATATCTCCACTGTCCTGTCAAGAAAAATGCAAAAAAAACTGTTCAATACTCCCACGTTCTATGAGCACACAACGTATTTGTGACAACATAGTACAGCAACGTGACTTGAGCATGTAACCGTGATAGAGATGATAGTCCAAAATCGTATCTACCAGTATATCGCCCACCCCTACGAAAGAATTAGCATTAAGCAATGGTTTTTAACATTGATAATTATAAGAAATGTTTCTTGAGCAGCAAATTAGCATGATTTCTGAAGGATCATGTTAGTGCTGGGCGGTATACCGGTTCATACCGAATACCGGTGTTTATTTTTGTTATGATATGAATTTCACGAGTGCGACTTTAGCACTAGATTTAGCAACTTTCAGACGCTTTTAGCGGCTTTTTTTCATAGAATATTCATACTGACAAACCTAGCGACTTTTTTGGATAAACCTTTGCTGTGGTTCAGTTGGAAGATTTTGCCAGTGCTGTCCCGCAAACACGAGGTCTGACTTTCCCGGAAAAGTGTCACCTCTCTCGGCGTCTGTTCTGTGCAGTGAGCGGCAGAGAAGCAGCGCATTCAGTTGGCCGCACCGCAGCCGACTCGTCAATAAATGAGTACAAAACAGCGTTTCCAAGTACCTGTCGCTTACTGATTATTTGGAATTATAAATATGAGCGTAGTTCTACGTAGTAGAACGTAGTAGAGCGTAAACAAACACTTTTTTGTTTGTTGTTTTTTTTTTTTTGTTATTCAGGCGCAGGCAGTGCGCTGCATGAGACAAAAAAGTAATATAGCCAAAACAACCGCATAGCCGCTCTCTAGTTTAGATGCATGTTGATTTTTATCAATGATGCCGCGATTATAAATGAGAGTGACTCCTGGTTAACATGTATTAAAAGGGGTCGTGTTTAGTCACTATTTAATGTGGTATTTTTTGACAATATTCACTCATCATGACAGTAAAATAGGGCATTCTAAGTCAATATACTGCAGTATTTCCTCTCTCAATCAGTAGAAAATATGGTTAACACCCGGTCATGCATGAAATAAAAATACCGTCATGTACCGTGAAACCGGTATAATTTTGAAAAATACCGTGATATAAATTTGTGGTCATACCACCCAGCACTAGATCATGTGACACTGAAGACTGGCGTAATGATGCTGAATAAATTACATTTTAAAAGTTATTAAATGGCTGTTTTTGTGAGCATAAGTGACTTGGTGCTGGTGTCCTCATCAGGCTTTTTAACAAACGTACCCCACAAGACTTCCTTTATAAACCAACAGCATGGCTGTATTTGGGTGACTAGCTAGGCTGAATTCATGAATTCATGCCGGTCTAACCTGGTCTTTTCAAAATGGTTGTGATGAGGATGGTTTTTTAAAAAGTTCAAAAATCCACAGTTGCATGAAGATTGAGACAACCAACAGATCCAAAATGGTCCTTTAATACTAGAATCACAGTCCAGATGAAATCAATAAAGAGGCACATTTACAAGAACGGGAAACTCTAAAGGGTGTTAGTGTGCAGGACATACAATACTTTGCATAGGCTCAAATGACTAAGCATTGCAGGAAATGCAGAACAGGTGTGCATGTGACCATGATTATTAGTGTGCTGAATGGAACTATTGGTTCCATTCATTTTGGAATCCTGGAGAATTTAAAATTTGAATCAAATGTGCGCATTATATTACAGATTGAGCGGCGCCTTGAAAATGTGCGATTTGTCTCCCATAATGTGCACAAGAAGATGGTCATGTGTCTACAGGGTAACGTGGGTTCAGATGTGGACAAGAGACATGTAAGTAACAGCAGCTTTTACATTTCCAATTCCCTCCAAAGTGCACACTTGTGAATAGTTTTTTTCCTGTTAGAAAAAGCTTCCTGTCACAGCCCTTTCACAATCCATGCTGGATGGAGGAAGTCAGCTCGGAGACGAGTCCTTCATCGGGTGAGTTTATGAACTCTCTGACCCTTTGACAGACATACGTATCCTCCAAAACTATCCCATAATCTGGTCCATCTGACCTGTGATTCATAACATTAATGAGGGAACTATGAACATTCACTCTTCTCTGAGTCAAACAGAGACAGCGCTTTCAGGGACTGTTTCTGCTCATTAGCCATGTGACCAAACATCCCTGAATCATCTGTTTTGTCAGGCAGGCGGTGTATTTACGGGCCTGATCTGTGAAAATATAGAGTGGACGCATCATTATTACCCAACAACATTTGGTAGTCCAGTGAAATTCATAATAGAGTGATGTGACATTAAATTATTATTGTTCATGATGGAATATGTGACCTCATGCCGCTTGATGATGATTGGTTGATAATGTTAGATTAGCAAGAGTACATTGTTTTTTACATTATGCTAGTTGTGTTTGATATTATTTTAAGGAATATCATACAAGATACTTTATTTCACTCATGTTTTCGTTTATACAATATACAAGTTCTGTTGTGCAGCACCTTTTTACAAAAAATAAAAATTCACTGTTTTGTTATAAATGTATTTTAATTTATTCAACTTTTTAAAAGATTGATTAAATTGTTAAAAGTCTGATACATTTATTTCATGAGGCTTATTTTAAAAATATTTTTGCATTGTTAAATCATAAACACAATTAAATGGTAGCTTATTCAATACATATTTTATTTATTTTAAACATGTGTGCATTGTGAAGTACTAATAAATCATAAACGCAGAATCCAAAAAAATAAATAAATAGAAAACTTTTCAAACATTTTCAAGAAAAAAAAAAAATCAATATCGAATGATATGGAAAACGATACTGTGATAATATTTTTGGCCATTATGCCCGGCTCTATTATTAGAATCTGTTTAGCATTCAAGAATAATGAACGTGACCAGGCAGCATGATGTTAACAGTTATTGATATTGTATCTACAGAAAGATGATGGAAGTCTGTGGAGAAGCTGAAAACAAACTGGCCTTGGAGCAGAGCCAACTTGAAGTTCAGCTGGAGAGAGATATTCTGGAGCCTCTCAACCAGCTGGCGGAGGTACGTAAAGCCAAAGACATGCAAATAATAATAAATAAAATATGCTGTAGGTTACATATCTTGTTTTTGTGCTTGAAGGTGGATATTCCTAACATCCTGAAGCAGAGGAAACATTTAGCCAAGCTTGTGTTGGATTTTGATTCTGCAAAAGCCAGGTGTGTATATTTTGCTATACTATATATACTATATAGTATTTTAGCTAGGATGCATTAAATTGATCAGAAGTGACAGTAAAGATGTCTGTAATGTTGCAAACATGTGACTGTGAAGACTGGAGTAATGATGCTGAAAATTCAGCTTTGCATCACAGGAATAAATTAAATTTTAACATGTATTCAAATAGAAAACGGTTAATATAAATTGAAATAATATTTCTCAATATTACAATTTTTACTGAATTTAAATAAATTAGGCCTTGGTGAGCATAAGCGTCTTTGCTAATAATAATAGCGAAAATACTTTAAACTATACAGGTATCAGCAGGCCACAAAGGCATTTCCGACAGCTGCAAATGCTCAAGCAATGGCCGCCAAAGTTGACACACTTAAGGAGGAGATGGATGAAGCTCAGAACAAAATGGAAATATGCAAGGTATGGGTATGAGTCAGACTGTATTGAGGTTTCTAGGTGACCTTGGGTAGCACATTCAATCTCGTCTGATCTCTTTTTATCTTTAGGATCAAGTGGCAGCAGATATGTACAACTTTTCGTCCAAGGAAGGAGAATATGCTCGCTATTATGTGTTGGTAAGTCGTTTCTTAGAGCTTTAACCACATAAGGCAAATAATGTCTGATAAAGTTTGATTTTTACTGGTATAATGAATTTAACTTGCAAATAAGGCATCAGAATGATGCAGAAAGTATAACACTGGTTATCAGTAAGAAACCGGTCAAAGGTCAGTGGTATTCATAGGTCTTCCTACTATACGCTAGTAGTTATCGTCTGGTCAGTGGAGTTCATTTGAATGAATAAAGCTGTTGTTTTATATACTATATTCTACAAAGTGTATAGGCAATTAGTAGATCGAGTCATCGACTTTTCCTCTTCTTAGACAAAAATAGAAGAAGAGTAAAGTTTTTGTGTATTTGTCTTGACAGTTGTTAGAAGCTCAAGCTGAATACCACAGAAGAGCTTTGGCGTCCATCGAGAGCGTCCTGCCCACCATACAGTCACAGCAAGGTGTGATATTTACTCTTCACTTCCTGCACTGAGCATCTGCTGCATATGAATCACTCACAACACTTCTGAAATCATGACCTTATTAATAGCTATTAAACACAGAGAATATTTTGGGGGATGTGTTTTGTGTTCTGAAACTGAGAAAATATTTATCTGATCTGTGATTTCTATAATTTCCAAACTTAGTCGCAAGTGACTTACTAACTAAAGGAGTGAATCTCACAAAATCTGTCAAGAACATGTTTGCCTGGGGCATATTTCAACCCAAAACCAATATATATATGTGTGTGTATATATATATATATATATATGTTGCATAAAGAAAAGTAAATAATTTTGTCACAACAATTATATAATTTATTGTATAGTTATATCATTTATTGTATAGTTAATGTATATTTATTTATTTATTTATATCTCAATAATAAAATAAAAGCTTCTTTTTATTTATTTACAATAAATATTTATTTACTGTAGAGTGCGAGAACATGTCTGGATCATATTCACCCTAAAAGCTAATTAATATATATTGCATAAATAAATGAATATATATATATATATATAGAACATATTTTGGTGTATATATGACACACACACACACACACACATATATATATATATATATATATTCATATTTTTGTATAGTATACATAATTGATATATAATTTGTATTTATTTTGTTTGTTTTTTTTATATAAAAGTTTCATTTTAATTAATATATAAATAGTTGTATAAACATGTTTTTTTTTTGATGAGATATGACCCAAACATGTTTTTGACAGGTTTTATGAGATTCACCCAAAGATCTGGCTAGTCATCAAGCTATGAATCATTCTTTCTCTTTCAAGGCTTCCTGGTGACCAGCACTGTAATGTATCCTGTTTCACACTGTAAATCATCCTGACTTATAGAATCTGTGCTCCACACACCCACCTAGTGATGATTCATAAATGTTTCCTGCCATAACTCAAATAATTCTCACTTCATCTCATCATCTGACATAGATAAATGGACAGAGAAGCCAGCGTTTGGCACGGCTCTGGAAGAACATCTCAAACGCACTAGCAGAGAGATCGCTCTGCCCATAGAGGCCTGCATTATGATGCTACTGGAAACCGGCATGCAAGAAGAGGTATCTGGCGCTGTGAAACAACACATGAGAACCCACAGATAAAAAGACAAGACGGTTTTCATCCAGAGGGGAAGTGGATGCACTTTGTTACTGCACACACAATGGCAAATAGTTGTGATCTTCAGGGAAGTGGTCGATATTTCTGCCTTTTGCAAAGGGCACTTTTGTACAGAACTAGTTTTAAATGGATTACATTTATTTGACATGCATTTCAAAACTGAAGTTGCATAAGTGTCAAAATCCAAATAAAAGAGGTTTGCAAGTTAACATTTTATGTTTTCATAAATATCAAGCTTTAAAAACCTGCCTGTATTCACATGTTTGTTGATTTGGCAATCAAGATCTTCTTAATATTTAGCCTTTATTCCTTTTGTCTCAGGTTGGATGGATAGATGAATGGATGCATAGACAGATAGATTGAAGGATGGATGATGGATGGATGGGTGGAGAGATCGTAGATGATAATTAGATGATGGATGGATGGATGGATATATGAATGGATAAATGGATGGGTTGGAGGGTGGATGGATGAATTAAATGTTTGAATACATAAATGGATAGATGGGCAGATGGATGATAGATGATGGATGGTTGGACAGATGGATGGATAAACGTATGATGGATGGAGGGGTGGGTGGATAGATGATGGATGGATAAATAGATAAAGATATGATGGATGGATGAATAGATGAATGGATAGATGGTTGGAGGGGTGGATGGATAGATGTTTGGGTGGATAAATGGATGAATGGTCAGATGGATGATAGATGATAAATGGATGGGTGGGTAGATGATAGATAGATGATAAATAGATGATGGATGAATGGGTGGACAGATGGATGGACAGATAGATAGATGGATGATAGATGGTGGATGGATGGAGGGGTGGGTGGATAGATGATAGATGGATGATGGATGATGTGTAGATGATGGTTGATAGATAGATAGATAGATAGATAGATAGATAGATAGATAGATAAACAGATAGATAGACAGATTAGGCAAGGCAAGGCCTTCTGTCATCAGAAGATAGATAGATAGATAGATAGATAAATAGATAGATAGATAGATACCTCAAGGTTGAGCAACAGATGAGGTCTGGATGACCTTGTTGATTTGTGAGAGCGACACTGTGGCAGTGTATCTGTGTTCGAGACGTCTTCTAATTCACTTCTGCTTCTTGGCTAAAGCCAGACTAATAATAGCAGTGAAACGAGACAATCATTTCCCTGTGAAACCATCACTGACACATATGAAAACAGACTTTCCAGTCATTTTTTATACATGAGCATCTCAGTTTATATTGTACTGCACGTTGCAAAGTTATTGTGTGTTTACAACATTTCCTTTCGTGCCAGGGTTTGTTCCGTATCGCTGCCGGAGCCTCTAAACTGAAGAAGTTAAAGGCGGCACTGGACTGTTCCACTTCCCAACTGGAGGAGTTTTACTCTGACCCTCATGCTGTAGCCGGTACCAGACATTTTTCGTAAATGACACTGTAGAAGGACGCAGTTTGTTTGCAGCTAGTTACAGAGATTTTAGCATCTCTGCATTTAGAATAACTCCCAAAATTTAAAATGAGACTGGATTTGTTTGATTTTAAAACGTGTGGTTGTGACGTTGAATACAAAACCGGAATTCTGGCGCTGATCTATTTTGAAACCTGGAACTTTTCAGTTCTGTTCACCAGATTGAAGAGTACCACAGCTATAGCCAAATATTTGAGTCTAAATCCACTTTGCATTTCATGTTAAAACAGAATTGAGGTTTTGCAAATCCATTTGATGTTGCTTTTGTTTTTCCATGATTATTTAGGAGCCCTGAAATCTTACCTGAGGGAGCTGCCTGAACCTCTGATGACCTACCAGCTGTATGAAGAGTGGATCCAAGCCTCAAAGTAAAGCATATTCACATATAATACATCAAAGTCCATCACTTCAGTGCCTTTGTATTCAGAAGGTTTTTCAGTGAGTCTCATCAAATCTTGAACATTAGTTTGCATGACTAACTTAAGTATGAGCATAAAACCATATTAGCAAACAAACAATGAATAGCAAAGAGGTGAGAAGTGAGAAGCTTGAGAAGCACCACATGACTTAGTTTTGTAGAGCAACTATTATAGTAATTCTGTATCAGTCATAATTTATCGAAACCCAACAACCAGTCATTTAAATGCTTTAATTCAAGATATACCACCATTCAAAAGTTTGCAGTTAATAGTTTTGTGTAAACCATTATACATTTTTTCAGGACTCTTTGATTAATAGAAAGCTCAGAAGAGCTGTAACATTGTAAAAGTCTTTACTGTCACTTTTGAGCAGTTTTGCTAAATAATTGTATTAATTAAAAAAAAAAAAGGATTGATAAAGATTTCACTAGGTTAACTGCAAGATACAAAATAAAATTTGTATTCACATAAAATTCTTGCTTTGTCATCAGATTTTATCCCAGCTGTGAATATTCCATTGTTTTGATTTCTACAACAAAATATGTGGCACAACTTCAGTATAAATTAGTGCTGTCAAACGATTAATCGCATACAAAATAAAAGTATTTGTTTACATAATATATGTGTGTGTACTGTGTATATTTATTATGTATATATAAATACATACACATACAGTATATATTTAGAACATATCTACATGTATTTACATGTATGTATTTATATTCATGTAATTTAACTTATATATAAATATATTTAATATCTAAACAACATATTTTTCTTAAATATATACATGCATGTGTGTCTATTTATATATACATAATAAATATACACTAGGGTTGTGCCGATAGACGATAGTATCGTGTATCGACGATAGACAGCGATATCGCCTGTGGCTGATGCCTTTGACGATAGCAAGACGATTATTATTATTATTATTATCAGACTAGTAATACTATCTAATTAATATTAGGGCTTATGTGTTGCATTATATTTCTTTTTCCGCGTTTTTACAGTATTGCACGTTCTAACCAATCACACACGATTATGCTGAGCTTATGAATGCATTGGCCAATCAGAGGCGTTCAGATGAGTCATCACTGAAACAGCGGAGTTCCATTGTTCAGCGCGTGCTGACTGAATTCTGACTCGTGAATTCTCTCATTATAAACAATAAAGTGCAGATGTACGTGCGATGCAAGTATAAGAGATTTATTCATCATACAGTGTATATTCACTGATTTTAACGGGAGTGTTTTTAAAGTGCATAATCTCGCGCTAGACTGAGCTTGTGATGATGTTCTTTGGTAATGAAATGTTCTTTGCTCGTTTTCTGTAGCTGCTTTTTGAATAACTGAGGAAATGTAAGCATTATAATTAGTAACTTACAATGTTTCTATTAATTTGTTATCATGTTAAATACAAATTCAGTCATATTAAAAACATTAGGCAACTTTTAGCCTTACGCTGGAATTGGTTCACGTTCCCGCAATGAAACTAAGTAAATAATGACATAAATTAACACGATAATATCGTGTATCGGCGATCTCACAGGCTGACGATAGGACGATATGAAAATTGAGCATATCGCCCAGCACTAATATACACAGTGCACACACATATATTATGTAAACAAAAACTTTCATTTTGGATACGATTAATCGCGATTAATCGTTTGACAGCACTAGTATAAATACACTGAAGTTTCTGTAATAGCTTAGTGTTTCCTTGTTGTCTTCTGAATCTTGTGTGGTTGCAGCCAAATAAATTAAAATGGCTTTTTTAGAAAGATTTATGCTCAAACAGTATCATAATTTTACATTAAAATAGTTCAAAAGAGTTTACATTATGTCAGTTGGATATTTTGTGTGAGGACTGCCGTATTTCATATTTTCGACAGTAACTTCACACTGAACTAAAATGCTGCCCGAGGAAACGTCTCAGTATTACACTCTAGGGATCGTAAATAGGTGATGACATAATCATTTATGTTTGTATCCCATAAAATGAGTCATCTCTGGAGCTGTGATCTTGTGTAACAAGTCATTTAAGGTGGAGCGTCGAGAGAGCTGACGTCAGCTGCCATAAGCTCATGTGGTTGATCTCTCTTTTACACTGGAAGACGATGACTTTACAACTTGAAGGGTTTCTGATCTGAACTGTACAATGGATTCAGTTTAAAAGCTTCTCAGTGCTTCAAACGATTGACACCAAAGTGTGCAGATGAAGCTTGCCAGGCTTAAAATGTTCTTAAATTTAAAATTTAATTTGAACCATAAATGCTAAATAAAGCAATAAGCCCCATGAAGCCGTGGTTTACAGTGAATTTATAACCGCTAAGGGGCGTTGTTAGGCACGACGTGAAGCTGAGTGACTAAAACTCCCTTAGCTGTTATAAATTCACTGTAAACCACGGCTTCACGGGGCTTATTGCTTTTATAAAACGGTTATTCCATATACGTAGTAAGGTTTCACAAAATAAAACAGAGCAAATAAAGTGTAATGATATTAATAAAAACAGTATTCTTCCACCAAACAATGTAGTTCCTCAGAAACAGTTGTGGTTGCAACAAAGTGGTTGCAGAGCAACGCGCAAATGTAAACAAAGGTGTATGTTTGTAGAGTAATTTACAACAGCTTCGAACACGGCTCAGCCAATCAGAATCAAGGACCGGAACTATCCATTTTATAATAAAATATCACTTCCTGTTAGGGCTGCACGATTAATCGCATGCGATATTTAACGCGCATCTTGTCAGTAAAGACGGTTCTGTAATCAGCGGTAAATCTCCACGTTCGCAAAACCACGTTCATATTCGCGCGATTTTTTGCGCAAATCGTCAGTGAACAACGGCTCTGTGTAGTTAATGCTGCTCAATGTGAAAGCACGCAGGTGATGGAGATTTACCGCTGATTACAGAACCGTCTTTACTGACAAGATGCGCGTTA